ATTAAATTTCATCTAATATTTTTCAGATGAAACAAAAAGTCAGAACCGTTGTCAGACGAGTAGAACCTGTAAAAATGGTTCATATTTTATATATTTTGTGCATATTCGAAAAATTTTCTTTTTGTTTTGTTAAACTTTAAATTTTGATCTTATATTCTGTATATATAATTACTATATATATCACATGAGATACTATATTGTATGATAAATTTTGATATGTGTATATGTATAGTTTGTGGGCCCATTGCATGAAAATGATATGAGTAAGAATTATGTCTCATATCAAGTGTGGAATGTTACATTTCTTCCTCAGTATCATTTCTATTTAGTGTCAATGTTATAACGACTACTAAAATTACAGACGAATGTCTTTTTTAGATTCCACTTAGAGGAGACCACTTGTACATAATTTTACCTAGTCCGATTCATATTAGTTTCTTAGTTCTAAACCCAAACTCAAACCTAACCTATAATTGATTAAAAAATAACCAGACCTAATTCAAATTTCTTTGATAAAAATCAAGAAGGGTTGTGGAATCTTGATTCGGATTTACAGCGTCAAGTTTTGCTTTATCATCCCTAACTAACACTGGCTTTTGCGATTATCACCACAGTTCATACCTTAATTTTAGTGAAAAATTAATTAAATTAACCATTTAATTTTAGTTTGCACAATCAGAAATAACGTAAACATTTTTTAGTGAAAAACATATTTAATAGGGAGCATAATATGCAAGCAGTGTAAGAGAAAACAAAAGAAATAAATAAATAATTAAATAAATAAATGAAGAGAGAGAGAACTCATAGTGGTGTCAATGATAAACAGTAAACATAAAGGGGAATCAGAGCATCTTTTACAACGACAAGTCAGCTGGGCTTATAAATATGGCAATTGGGTAGCCATCAAATTATACGCAGACAAGAAGCAAACAAACAAAACCCAACAATATAATTCATTTCTCATTATTATATGCACGTATAGGTTTGGTATATGTATATATGTGTGTGTGTATATACATATATATGTAAAGTATGGCGATTCAGCTTTATATATACATATACATATATATATATATATATATATATTCGTATATGTGTTCAGAGACATCAAACTACACATGTAAATCTGGCAGACAAAAAGTACCAACAAAGCACCAAATATTGGAGACACTACATGGGGCTCTAGCCCACCACCCTCTCCCTTTCTTCTTTTCTCTGTGTTTAAACACCTCATATTCATATATAAAAGACACCATGTATATGCATAAAATGACAAACATGCCATCTCACTCTTCTTTCCACAATTAATATTTCATTTAAATATTATCAGATACATCTAACACAACTAGCAAACATGTCAGATTTTTATGCATTTTGCTTCAGAGAAAAAAAAAAAGAAAAAAGCTATATAAATATTTTTATATACAATGGCAAACATCTCAAATGGTTACCACCCTTCTTCCAAAAAAAAAAGAAGTTTAATCCCATATACGTTTACAAATCACTAACCACAACGTGGACGTGGATGTATATATACAAGTGTGTTGTAAAATTGCTGATCAAGTTTATTAAGAATATTAGGAACCCAATAAAAGAAAAGTTTTTATTTATAGCTCAGAAACCCAATAAGAGAAATCCCAGAAAAGTTCATATTTTAATATGGGATATAAGTCGTACAAACTGGTATAGTATATTAACATGAATTAACGTGAATATGTAAGCATATATATATTTTTTAATCTCTGATCCAATCTGCTTATAAGATGATTCAAAGAAAAAAGAAATAGCATCCATAAAGATAAAAAGTGAGAATGACAAAAACAAAAGTGTATTATAATGTTTTGGGCTTAGTGAGGACAAGTGCTTGCCAGTGTATATATCTATTTTGATTCACCTGCATTCTTAGGGTTGAATATGAGGGTTATATCTAAGCATCTTTTTGTATATACCTCAGATTTTCATAAAGATCTTTCAGATCAAAAGAGACCGCTTTTTCATATGATCATAGCCTAATCATATACCCTTGGGGATCATATATAAATAGTGGTGTGTAAACAGTATTATAGTATTGAATCCATCTTTTTATTTTTGTAAAAATTAAAATACATAAATAAATATCAAAATTAAGGATGATATTTTGTACTGAACTTTTTTTAATCCGATTCATCTAAACTTGACTTGATACAATTTTTTATGTTTGAAGTACGGGATCATATTGAACCTGGAAAGATGGGTATTTCGGGATATTTTCCGATTTAATTTTTAAAATTTTTTTTATTAATATAAATTTTTTAAACTAATTATCTATGTATTGATATAATAGAACACCTAATCTCTTGTCTAAGTCCCATCCCTATTCACGTTTTCCCCTCTTAAGTTCTATCCACTCCATTGTAATTATTATTTTTAATCATTTTTGTTCCCATGTGAAATTAACTTGGGGAATTAAACAACATTTACAGCAGCCTCTCACTCAAATTACTAAAACTACACATATATATATGTAGTAGGGATTCCAATAAATTATAAAAGAGCCCCAATTTTTCAATAAATTTTAAATATATTGAAGACGTTTTTATACTAATTTCTTTATCTTTTTCAAGGTTTATATTCTACCAACAAAATAAAATTATATCATTAAAATTCAACTAGTAGTTATCAATGTTGATCATTTAGTTAATATAAAAAAAAATGACTGTCAGATAAATAATATTAAAATGCCAATGTTGGTCGCAATATAATATATATACATATACAATTACGATCATCATAAACATCAATTTGTATACATGTAATCCTCCCTCGATATTGAATCCCACTTGCACTCTTTATAGTGTCAAAAACAGTATCTAGTTTCTCATAGGGAAAAAATATTACTATATGGATCTAAGCAAGCAAAGTTTGGCAACTTTCCATGGTAGTCCTGGAGAATCCAATGCTTTTAAATTTTCATATAGATATAAAATATTTATAATGCTTTTAAGTCAGGAGTTAAGTGGGTACATTGTTATCAAATTTCCTACAATGGAAAATTACGCATATAAGACTGGTTGAATTTTGTCTTATTTCATGGTAGATGCAAGAAATTAACTGTTCTTCTTTTAAAAAACCCCACTCAATCATCATGTGTATTTGTCAATTCTTAACCAGTTTGGGTTTGGATTATTCCAACTACTTTTAAATTGACAATGGTTAAAATTTAAAAACATGTAATTACTTGCTTCCAATATTCTCTGCAAGTGTAGGACATGCAAGATCTGCCTCAAAATTCAAAAGCATTTCATTTTTTAAGATTTTAAAATAATAATAATAATAATTTGGCTTTTAACTAGTGTAGTGTAGGACATGCATGCATCGGACAAGGAAGGGAAGAGGAGATGGTCCACACAATGAACGGTCAGGATCAGCTGCAGAGCTTACTAATAATAAACATCATTTTTCAACTCTTATTTTTATAATGTTTTATAAATAATTTAACTACATTTACCAAAATTTTCAAAATATTTCTGTTTCTAAAACATTTTGTAATCACTTAAAATTAGTCATCTATATATATATATATAAATATATATATATAATGGAATATTAATATAATAATCTTTAGTAAATTCTGCTTAAATTAATAGTTTATATGTCTTATTATATATATATATATAAGATCTTATAAGTTTAAATTAAATTGTACTCGTATACAAAAGATTACTAAATTCTCATATAAAGATATTTATTTTGTATTATGATTAATTTGTTTATATCATATAATGCGGTAATTTTCTCAAAAAAAAAATTATCTTTAAAATTTAGAACCAAAAAATAACTAACTCATTGTTTTTTCCTTAGAGGATATATATATATATATATATAAAAGAACACAGCTTAGTTATTTAAAGTTATATAATGAATTTAATTACTATATACTACTACAATTTCAATTTTTTCTTTCTACTATATAATAAATATATAGCTAAATGAAGTGAATGAAGAAGTGAAAGAAGAAATATATATGAGTACATACAAGGTACTGAAATATTATAAGTGTCCTTCCCTTTGGGAAGATTTAATGCAAAAAGATAACAGAAATATATAGGCGATTAAGAGGGGAAGAATGTCAAAATTAAGATATATGAAAACAAAAGATATATATATATATATATATATATATATATATGTAATTGAGTTCAATATGGTATAGTGACCTACCGTTACCATGGTTTCTGTGAAGACTGGTCCTGAGAAGTAGTGGTGTTCATACAGTTACTAAGACCAGCAATACTGAGAATATCAGTATGAGAAAACGCTTTAAGCCCCAAGAAATCTCTGGTCAAACCCTCGCCACCTTTAATGCCACCAGTCTGTTGATCATGATGATCATTTTTGCTGACATTCGTTATATTTGTCCTTGTAATGGTTGAGCACATGTCTTCCTTTCTCACTTCGTCCAAACTGAAATATTTCTTTGCGTTCAAAATCCCACCAAAGCTTTCATCAAAGGAATTATTTACTCCTTGCTGGTCAAACCCAGTTGCAGCAGAAGACAAAGAACACATCATATCCTGGAAGAGACCGCCTGCAGGTCTGGTGCCGAAAGGATCAGGCAAGACATGATGGACATATCCAGATGCAACCTGTAGCTCTTCACGTGATGACAAATTCAGGCCAAAGCCAGCTGTTGTTGTTGTTGCACTGTGACCAGAATCAGCCGACACGTGAGGTTGCTGGTGGGGTCTAATCAAGGCTGGTGGTGTGGGTGATGACGAACCAGTAGTCTTGCAGCTGCTGCTCATGGTTGCACCCATCTGTGCTGCCTTTTGCAGTAAAGCAGTGGCTGACATGTGCGGTGAGGGTGTTGGGTGGTAGGAAGGAGGGAGCATGGTGGGGCCAAGACTAGGGTTAGGGTTTGGGGTATGATGATGATCATGAATGCTTTTTTGCTGTACTGTGAAGTCCTGATGATGATGATCCAATCTGGTTGAGAAGGTGGAGGATGAGGAGGAGGAGACATGATCAAGTGACTGGTGTTGTGGTTGGGTTGGGCAGGAAGCAAGCCAAGGAGGCATCTCAGGCCTCAAGGAGCTGTAATTTTGCTGCTCTTTTTTGAGTGAAAATGCATGGAGATCTTGGGGAACTTGCAAGTTGATGTGCGAAGAAGAGCTGCCTGGAAGTTGAAGATGAGAAGATAGAAGTGGGTTGGTGTTTGCTGCTCCAGTTGTGATTGCCCTTGCACTCTCCTCTGCTAAAGCATCACAGAATGCTCTGTGAGTGATGAAACTATCCCTCCTGAAAAGAAAAATAATTTAAAAAAACAATCACAAAAGAAAACGAAAGCAAAAAACTGGCATAAAAGTGCTCAGAAATATTTGACTTGTTCTCTCTATTTTGCCCTTCTTTCTTAATTTCTCTCTCATTCTTACTTTCCTTTTGCATCCGTTCTTTTATTTACTCTGGTAGCTAAGGACAGATTGTCCCCATAGACTGGTGCAGTTAAGATTTCCTTACCAAGCTTCTCTCTTTTTCTCTCTTCCTAGGTAGGGAAGAGTGTATATCTATGATTAATGTATAGGATATAGACATATTTCTTACGAAAACAAATATGCTAATTAATTACTCAAACAACATATTTCAGACAATAAATGAAGCTCCCTTAAAACAAGAAGAGAATTCTTCATATACCTTTATAAATTCCATAAAAATGATTAAGGAGCTGGCTGGAGTTAGTTACCTTGAGAAGAGAGTACCACAGTCACATCTGTACTCTCTAGTGCCACAGGTCTTGGAATGAGCTTTCCAATCTGATTGAACCGCATACTTCTTTGAGCACTTATCGCATTTCCACTTCTTCTCCCCATGCTTTCTGCAGAAGTGCTTCTTGATTCCCGTGAGGTCGCCTAAAGCCCTGGACGGTTCATGGTGCACGCAGCTGGATTCTGGACACACATAAACCTTCTTCCTCACTTCTTTTGTTGTCCTTTGCTTCAGTTTCCATGGCAGGTTGTGGCCTCTCCGGTGGAGCTGAAGATTCTGGTCTCTTTGGAAGCCTTTGTTGCAGATCTCGCAAACAAATCTATTCGTTGCCAGGAGTGTCTTCGGAGATAAAGCTATCACTTCTGCATCTGGGTCTGCTTATACAGTGAAGGAAACCCAGATTAACTAAATTATACAAACCGCAGAAATGGGAAGAACTATATACATATACACACACACACACACACACACACACACACACACACACATATGTACACTGAGAGGGAGGTGAAAAACCTGGGTTGCCTGGCAAGTTTCTCTTCTTCTTGGGTGGTGGCTGAATTTGAGGAGGTGTACCTAAGTATTGTTGAGGGTAATTGGTGCCTGATTCAGTCCTATTGCCTGAGGAATTAACACTTGCTTCTCCAGATGCTGAAGTCAAATTAGACATGTTCTCCTCCATCAGCTGTTGTTGTTGTTGTTGTTGTTGATGATGAAATAAAAGATCTTTCATCATATTCTGATCTTGAAGACACTAAGAAATCGATGTTAAAGATCCTAAAATTGCATCACGTGGGGCATGTACAGATCTTGATTTCCATCAAAGAGAAGGAGTTTTGAAGATCTAAAGACAAAAGGAGCGAGCTAGAAAATAAATCAAAGGAGACAAGAAAGCAAAAATATTACTCAAAGAGTGTGGTTATATGAAATGAACCCCTTAACTCTCATCATTATCACCGTTGATAGCTTCTTCTTCCTTTGGCTTCGACCCAAGAGACAATTCTTATTTTTTTGAAAACTCGAAAACCAACAAACAGAAAGAGAAGGAACCAGAGAGAGAGAGAGAGAGAGAATAATATAGGTTGAGTTCAAACCAGATCGTCTACCCACTTTCCATCTTCACGTTTGAATATGCTTATCTAGCTAATACCAAGAAAAGCCAACAATAACCACACAAAAATATGAATAAAAGTAGTAGTTGATAAAAGAAAAAGACCCAGTTCATCAAATAGCTTGAGAGAGATGTGGTTGAGATGAGAGAAGGAGATATTGGATATATCTCTCTCTATGTAATCTTCTTCAGGCAGGCAGGCAGCAGAGTCCAAAAAAAAACAAAGAGAAAGAGGGAGGGAGAGAGAGAGAGAGCCGAAAGCCACAATATCAAAGGGGAACCCTACGGCTAAACTCTGACTGACGTTGGTATTTCTGTCTTTTCCTGTGGTCTTCCCCTCAACCCCAGAAAAAATCTCCTTTCTTTATGCCTATTGCTTTTTTCACAAAGTTTTGAAATTTCCTGCTGATCACAAGCAAAAAAATTTTAACTTTTATTTTATCCCTCCTTCCCTCGTAAAGTTAAGGTGCAAAGCCAAAATATAAAGCTACCATCCATGTTAAAAAGTCACCCATGATTTGTATATCAATCTACTGATCATAATTAATTTTTTATCTTATTTTACATCATGGATGGTAGACCCGGTGGCAGCTTTTTACATTACAGTGAAATGATTAATGGATTGATTAATTTTGCCAGGAAGGCATGGCCAAAAGCTATACTACTACTTATATACACAGTTCTTTTATGTTCATTATATATATATATATATAGTGATTATCACTGTTAAATTTGCATATCATAGCTGAAATTTCTGACATTTTTGCATGGCTGATTCAATAAATTTATTATAAGAACAAAGATTGATGGGTAAAGAGAGTAGTAGAAGTAGTGGGATATTCTACAAAGCTGCCTAACTTGACTTGATCTATTTCTTCTCTCTCTCTCTCTCTCATCATGGTAATCAATGATTATTTATTGAAAGTATTGATCAGCATGCACAAATTTCAAGTGTAGGTGTTGCATGTGGTAAAATTGTCATCATCATCTACAAGGTCGTTGTTATCAATGTAATAGTAATAATGGAGTATTATACAAACCAAAATTCTAGCAAGTGAACATGTGTTTAGGGCTGCCGTACTACTTATGTGGTAGATAGAGATACATTATATATATTCTTCTATTTATAGTTGACTCCAAGGTCAAAAATTATAACAGCTGGCTTATGTGTTTGTGTGTGTATATCTGCATGGTACACTTCAGCACAACTTCAACCCCATAATAATACATGTCTCACTTCTTCAAGAAAAAAGAGTATTAAGGTATACTTGTCTTTTATGTTAATTCATTGACACAATCATTCTCTCTCTCTCTCTCTCTCTCTCTCTCTCTCTCTCTCTCTCTCTCTCTCTCTCTCCCTCCCCCTCTTACTTGGTAGTTGGAAAGAAAATTATAAATTAGTGATGATCAATCCATATACCGTATATGACTTAAGTTTAAATTATATACAATTTTTTTAAGATTTATATATTTTTTATTTTTTTCAATTTTGTTTTTGTTTCTATTTGATTTTAATTTATTTTTTTATATTTTTTAAAAATATTATATTTAATTCCTTTTTGTTTATGACAGTTTATGTCGTTGATATATACACTAAGTATCATTAAAATTAACACGAATTATAAATTTATTTAGTATCTTTTCCAAGCTAACTGTCGTTTGACGTATCAAGTTAATGTGATAGTCATTTTAATTTTGAACTGACACGAATTAACTTAAAAAATTCATACTTTTTCTAAATCTCCAAATCCTTCCCAAGTGCTATTATTATTATTATTAGTATTATTAGTACCCCTACCCCCTCCCACCTAATAGAGCCTACTCCCTCCACCTCCCACCTTTCTAGAATGCTTCTTCCTTGAGTCATCATGACTACTCCTTCAATGCTTTCAGCAAGGACAAATAAGATATTGATTACTACAGTGGCTCATATCTTCTGCAAACGATCTTAGCAACACACCTCTAGCAACTCTCATTTGGATCACTTTTAGCCAAGAATGACATTTCTAAAATGTGAGCCTCATTGACATATACAACCTAGCCATGTCCATCACCTCATTCAAATAGCCCAACAAGTGCATATATGCAAGGTGGGTTAGCAACACAAGTTGGATATGTTCGATTGGGCTGATGGAAAACATGGGAAGGAGGAAAAAAAAAAAAGAGCGCTTTAGAGGGGCTTAGGGATTTAAGAAAAGTATAAATTTGGTTTTCTTTTTTTCTAAACTAGTCTAATTTTAAATAACTATCATGTTAGCTAGCACATCAAGTGATAAGTGGTAACTAGCTTAGAAAAGATCACTAATTTTTCTCCATGTTCACATATTTTAAAATTTTTAATCTATATCAAAAAATTCTTCGAGTATAAACAATGATTATTGTTGAAAATTTCATATTGATTATCTTTTTCTTTATGATTAGGTTCAAGCTCAGTTGAGAATGACCTTTAAAAATTCCTTATCTTTATGTCACCATGGGAAAATCTAGTTCTTCTATTCATGAATGGGCTTTCTTGTTAAATGAATCATTAACTTTTAATCCATTGTCGAATTCCTCTATTAATAACTCAATAGGCTCACTATAATTGCAGTTTATCACTTTTCAAACTAGACTTGTTGAACTAATACCATTCCTTAAATGATTATAGTGGTTTGCATTATCCTTAGTTAACTAACCTATTATTAATGAAGATTCCTTTAACTTTTAGAAGTAAGCTTTCCATTTCTCTTGTATTTACCTCTTTAAGGCTCTCCTTTGGTTTTTTTTTTTCCATCTAGATCTTTCCCCAAAATAATTAAATTAGCTTCTTCACAAACTTAACACTTAGAGTTTTCATCCACAAGACTAAAATTATCCAGCTGACAATAAATATAAACATTTTGGAATTTCTTTCAAATATGGATCTTTAATAAGAAATCTAGCTCCATTAATAGAGAACATAAATAACACTATTTATTGTTTATTTTAAATACGTAATTGAACTGTTTACACCTTAATTTAGGTGGTTTTGCCTATTTTAATGTAGGTGAAAGAGGCAAAACTTAATTTTGGAAAAAAAAAACTCGCATAAATAGGTTTTGTGCGAAAGCAGCAGGTCTTGAACTATAAGTCTCAACTAAGACTTATGCCTTAGCAAAAGCAGCAGACCTATGTCTCTAAGTCTCAAGCAAAGTTAAAGCATCAAAGAGATTACAAGTCTCAAGTACACACAAAACTAAGCCTTGGACAAGGCTTACATTCTCGCGAAAATAAGAAAACCATTTGACACACGGGTAACCTTGGGCACAACTAACATCATGGTAGCACGGGAAAAATCAGTTACACTTAACTAAGCCTTGGCCAAGACTTAGATAGGTGTTGCAGCTGGTTTGAAATAAAAAAAGGTAGCTTTTGAAATTAAAGAATAATCTTGTTGCATCTAGAGGGAAAAACTAAAAATCAAGGACGAGATAATTTTGGGAAGCCAAAACCATTGGAAGAGATCCCAGTCTTCGTACAAAGAAAACCCTGATCCTCTTAAGTTTAAAAGGAGCATAAAATCGAAGAAGGAATCTATCTATCTTAGTCGCTGCATATTGAAGAACATATAGTTTTCTTAACTTTTTTTCTATTTCCAGTAATCACAAAAACTCTATTTTATATTGAACCCATCATAAGTGGCTGATAACTCTCTTTTTTTTTTAGTTACAGATTTAGCGAACTCCAGTTTATAATTGTGAGATCTAAACACTTTTATTTTTGGTTTTTGTTGAATGTTAATATTTGTTTACTCTTCTGCGCATATGATCATTATTGTTATTTAATTGTTTGAACATAGCCCGTTAGGCGAGTGACATTGCAACATACTACCAACTGAAATATTTTAAATCCTTAATTATTTAAAAAATTCTGGCACCCAATGGAAATTTAGTCTCTGATTAAGAAGAGCAAACAATCTAGTTTTGCGAATCACGTAGTTAAATCCAACAACTAGAACTGAGTTCTTCTGATTCTTAATGCTATTAACAGAATAAATTTTAGGAAGGTTTCCAGGATTATCTGCTAATAAGAATCAATTAATAAACGTTTCTTGATTAGTTTAAAACTAAGAAATGATTGGTCGTCGAAAC